CCCCCTAATCATTTTTGTTGCCCTCTGCTGGACTCTTTCCAATTTTTCCACATCCTCCTTGTAGTGTGGGGCCCAAAACTGGACACAGTACTCCAGATGAGGCCTCACCAATGCCGAATAGAGGGGAATGATCATGTCCCTCGATCTGCTGGCAATGCTCCTACTTATACAGTCTGTTCTCCAAAGCAGCATCAGGGGTTGGCCACCTTTTGACGCGGGGCTGCCTGGCAGCAGAACGGGGGGCTGAGAGCCTGGAGCACTTTCAGAGGGGCCTTCAGGCAGGGATTAAACTCATCAGGGAGCTCCCCTTTGCTGCCCCCCAGCTCCCAATCCCCTTCGGCTGGGCCAGCGCGAGCTGTTCCTCCTTCGCCCCCATTTCACTCTGCTCATCCCAGCTGGTGGGAGTCCTTTTGCACACCTCCCCTGAGCTCTGATATGATGGGGCAGCACGTGCAGGGAACCAGACCCTTCGACTGCTGGCTTCGCAGCCGTGTGACCCCAGGAGGGGAGAATTGCTTGGCCTGAGACTGGGGGGAGAAAGGGGCCAGTCTGAGGCCTGGGGCAATGACAGGTCAGTGATGGAGGGCCAGTCACAGACCCACCCTCAAAGACAGCCTCTAGAACGCCAGTGATAACATGCCAAAAGGAGGGAGACTCCCCCTGCACAACCACCCAATTAGGAGTCAGTTTGCAGACCCTGAGCTCCTCCAGTCTTTAGGAAAGGAAGGCTGCTCTTGGGGGTAAGGCACATGGCTGGGAATCAGGAGGTCTAGGTCCCAGACTCCCTGTCTGGCCTGGGGCCTCAGCTCCCGCTCTGTAAACTGGGGCTAATGATGCCTCCTTTCCCTCACCCTTTGTCTGTCTCAGCCATTCAGCCTGTCAGCTCTTCTGAGCAGGGCCCGTTGCTCACACTGGGTTTGTACAGCACCGAGCGCCTTGGGGCCCTGATATTGCTGGAGGCCTCTGGGTGCAAAGGTGGTACAAGTAACTAATAACCATCGTCCAGCTCCCCCCTCCCCCCAGCTCCTGGCTCGCTCCCCCACAGGCCCAATCCGGTCCCCTTTCAACCCCCCCCCCCCACGCTCTCCCTCAACCCCTCTCCAGCCTCCATCAGTCCAGCCCTAGGCTCTCACAGCCCTGATCCCATCTTCCCCTCCCCAGGCCCTTTTAGCACCCCTCCTGACCCCGCTCCCCCAGCCTTGGTTCAGGCCCCCACAAGCCCTCCCCCAGCTCCTCCCCCAGACCCTTTCAGCTGCTCCAATCCCGCGTGGGCCCCAGCTCTGATCCAGACCCCTGAGCTCCACTCGTCCCCTTCCCCAGCCTGCGCAGCTCCAGTCCAGCCCCCCAGTTCTGCTCCCACTGCCCTCCCTGTCCCCGTCTGGCTCCAGTCTAGCTCCCCCTCCCCTATTCCACCCCATGCAAAGGGGCCGATGCTTTTACCTTGTGTTTCATCTCTAGGGGGCCCCATGTTCCCTGTCTCTGCCTGCTGTGCCCCCCCGCGTGTCCCAGCGCTGCCATGCCACCATCCCTTCCCCATGTGTCCTTGCCGGCTGCTCATGCCTGGAGCCACTCCAAACAGAGCCCCCCCCCATCCTAGTCACCCCCTTTGCCCTGGGGGGCCGGCAGGTCCTGCTCTCCTCTGGGGCCCCTCTCCATTGCGGAGATTGTGGCTCAACTTCTGGGGGGGGGGCGAGGGGACTGGTAGTGGCAGGAACACACGTGGTCTAGATCCAGGAGCCCTCCATGGGCAGCAGGCCCCTGCAGCACCAGCACAGACAGCCATCCCCCCCGGATCACCGGACGCCTGGGTTCTATCTATCTATGATCTGGTTACACCTTCAGGCAGAGGGTATACAGGCTTCCAGATGCCTGAGTCCTATCCACCGTACCGGTCAGGGGTGCAATCCCCAGAGACCTCCAGCCTGGGACTCCTGCATTCGAAATCACACCCTGGTTGGGCCCCCATAACTTTGTGGGCCCTGGCGCGGCTGGTTGCACCATTGGAGCTGCAGTGATGGAAGGCGGAGGCGCCCAAGGTCCATGTCACTAAGCCGGGTGAGTCCAGGGTACGGGCCTCTTAGGTTGGCTCTGGCCGCATGCTGGGCTTCGCGCGGTGACTCAGCTCCCTGCTGGACTTGAAGTCCAGATGCTAAAGCCATTCCAGGCATTGGGCTTCTGGCCCTCCCTGGTAATGGGCCGAGGAAGAGGGGCAGCCTGGTGTCTAACGGGGGCTTTTCACTGACCGCAAGCACAGGTGGGGGGCAGCGTGGAAAGGCGAGGGGTGAGGGGACGTGCACGGGCGTGCAGGAAACATGGACAACCATACGGGTCTGCGAACAGCCATTTATTGTACAGAGAAGCCTTAGCAGATGCAATTGGACTAAGGGGGTAGCTAGGCCGTGAGGAAAAGTGTGATCCATGAGGCGGTTCTGACTTGCGCCTTGATTCCTGGTAAGCTTCCAGCATGGGTCACGGGCTCGTCTGCCAAGCTTGGGTTCCCCTCCTCGCTCTCTGGATTAACCCTTATTGTGGAAAAAGGAAATGCCATGACCGAGGATTTTTGCGCCTATGCGCACAAGGGGCCACCACCTGGTGACGCGAACGGGCTGTATGGGGAGAAAAGAAGTGTGTTAGCATCTCCATGGAGACCCACCTGGCTTCTAATGGTGTTTATGTTCAACTTCATCATCTGCACCTTGCCAAATCTCTGAGGGCTGGTTTGGGGGGCGGGGGGAGAGGCCTAGTCTAACATGCTTTGTGCAGCCCCTGCTGGGGAGCTGCGTTTGAGACTGGAGCTGGGAATGGCCAGGAAGGGATGGCTGGAATTATACATCCCAGGAGACGCGTCTGCCATAGCAGCTGGGGCTCTTGTGGGGCACATGGGGAAAGGGCTCGCTGCCAGGAGGTCAGCTCGCTTGGCTGCTGGATGACACCACACTAATGGGGTCTGTGCCGGGGAGGAACTGGGATTCCCAGCTGGAGGGTTGATGTTCTAGGGAAACCCTTTCATATGGGGATCCAAATCACGTACTACTGTCTCTCCAGGTCTGAAACAAAGCTCATTGAATTCAATGGAAATACTGTCATGGACTTCACTTGATGTCTGGATGAGGCCCTACGACTTGGACTGAGGGTTGGCTCATCCCAGCCAAGGCAGATCCTTTCGTGGGAGAGACCGGGAAGCCAACCTGGGGCCTAATGTCTGTAGTGTGAGGTTAAGGGTGTCTTCTGCTGAAACCCAGACACTCGTTTTCTTAGACCCGGCCGTGCAGTGACAAAGAGCCATCTCAGGCATCCGCCTCCCCTGGGGTGTCTTGGTCCCACGTAGGGGGAGGATTTGACTCCTCTCTCTGTTTGGCAGAGGTGGGTTTGCAGGTGAATGTACCCAAAGCAGAAGGAGACGCTCCAGTGGCATTTTCACCTTGGGGAGATTCTGCCCCAGCCTCACTCTTTCAGGGTATAAGTTCTCCTCTCCCTCGCCCCCCAAAGCATCTGGCTGGACAGCTCACCTGCGGAGGGGCGACGTCACAGGTGATCGCGATGACAGGGCATGCTTCCTGGGTGGAGAAGTGTCCTGAGCAGTCTCTGACCAGCTGCAAGGGAGAGAGAGGAGGGGACAATAGCTTAGAGTCTGTCTAAACGGCAGCTGGGGAGGTGTGGCTGCAGCTCACGTCAGGATAGCCCAGTTCACTTTGAGCTAGGCAGATCTAGGGGAATCTGAGGGCTGGTCTACACTGCAAAGTTACAGCGGCGTAGCTACGTCTCTCGGGGTAACACCGCACCCCTGAGAGATGTAGCTAGGCCCACCTGGCCCTCTGTGCAGACAGCGCTGGGTGGAGGGAAGAATTCTTCCCTCCCCCTAGCTGGGGCGGTGGATCATGGACAGTGACAGGAGGACCCCGCCCGTCACTGCTGTCCACACGGAAGCACTGCAGCAGCTCAGGTGCACTGTAGTGTCGTAAGTACAGACGTGGCTTGAGTGCATCCCGCCGGGGAGCCTGGGTTCACACGGGAGCCGCTAGCCCGTGCTGCCCTGGCTCAATCCAAGCCAGCTGGAGTACGTGCAGCGTTGACGTACCTGACTTCCGCAGGTGGGCTGAGGTCAGATCTACGTGTTCCTGGATGCCTGCTCCTAGATGTGGGGGGTTTCCATGGGGGGAGAGGAGGGTCTTGTTTCTGCTCATCTGTTTTACTGTTTCTTGTGCGAAAAGCAGAAAGAAATAGGGTGGTGCTTCTTTCGGCTTGTAGCACATGGTGCAGTAACTCAAAACAGATCCGTTTAGCAGAAAAAACACCCTCCTCTTCTCTCCTGATGGAAACCCCCCCCCACCGCTCACATCTGGAAGCAGGTGTTCAGGCACCAGGTATGTATCAGATCTCACCCTTCCCATAGTGCTAAGTCGCTGACTCTGTGTCTTGTCACTGTAGGGTGAGCAGATGTCCCGATTTTATAGGGACAGTCCTGATAATTTGGGGCTTTTTCTTATATTGGTCTATTACCCCCCACTCCCATCCCAATTTTTCACACTTGCTGTCTGGTCCCCCTATGTCACTGCCTTGTCCACTAGACCGTGCAGCCGCTGCAGTTTGAGGTGAAATCCGGTCAGCAGCTGGTATCACTGAGTGACTTCTTTAGTGTGTTTCTATTTGATCTTCCCTGGATCCTTCCCCTTGTTCTGCTAGTCAGTCAGTCTGGGGGCTGCTGAAGACATTCAGGGAACTTAGGAACTGTGGGTCTGTGGCGTTGTGCTTCCCCCCAGAGGTGCTGAACACCTGTAGCTCAGACTGACTTTGACTGGGGCTTCAAGTGGGCGCTCGCCACCTCTGAAAGTCAAACGCTTAGTTAGGGGCCTAACGCTGAATGGCAGGGGCCTAACGTTGGGCGTCTACGTGCCTAAAGCTGAGCACCCCAAAAATGGAGACGCCCAAAACAAGAGGCCGTTTTTGAAATTCTGGCTGTGACCTTGTTTGCTGAGCCCTTGGGAATCTGCATCCCTCCCTTCACCCGAAACAAACACGCACATCTCCCAGAGGGCAGAGGTGGCAGAGAACCAGTGCGTCACTCGTTCCATTTCCCTGTCATTTGTTCTCTGCAGGAACTTTTCTAACCCTCTGTCCTGCCCCGTTTTCAGAATCCCTAGTAGCGGGGCTTCCATCTCTTGGCTTGGGTCACGGCCTAAACGCTGGGCCACACATTTTTTCCTGATCTTCAGCGTAATTGCCCCCCCCCGCTAGGGCTGGTGGGTTGACAGACCTGAGTGAAGCTGAGAACGGCTCTTTCTGAGT